AAGCAGAAAAGGCAGACTATTCTTAGCTGAGATATTTGACAGAAACATCCATCTCTATTTCCATGCTGATGCATTTAGATTTGCTGCTTTGCAGATCTCTCTTTGTATTTTATTTTGTGTTTAAAGACACCACTAACTTTTTTAACTTAGCAACAAGATCAATCCGTTTCTTTTCATATAGCTCAAGGATCTTTATTTCTATTTTTAAATATTATTTCTTATTCCATGCTCTATAAGGATGAAGCTAAATCTCCTTTCCAAAATTATTTTTCACCTAATTTAGTTTTTCCTCCTCTTTCACACAAAACATTGCTTGGCTGCAGCTGGTCTGGGGTCAGCCACCTCTAAGCCTGCTCAGCTTTGGTGGTGATTATATATAAAGAGTGTCTCTGGAGAAAGCCTCACTAGATAATGATGCCAAAGTGGAGGGGTTATTTCTCAGGCAAAATGTAGTCCCACTGAGGTGGGATCTTGTGCTCCCACCTTAAGTTGAAAGAGTAGAGAAAATTCTGGATACAATATTTAGTACAGGGAGCATCAATTTTAGTCATGTCCCCCAATGTCTCACAATGAATTCCAGACACTGACCCAAAACCAACCCCCCCCCCCCCCCCCCATACCCACCAAACACAGCCTCTGCTGCTGCTTGACAGTGCCGCTTCCCCCCACAACCAAGTGGTCCTGCCCACTATGATGGCATATAACAATCCTCGGAGACCCTACCCTTTATTGTCATATGGGCGGGGTCACACAGTGACATCACCGAGTGGCCTTTGCCCCTATGATGTCACATTGCATCCCTCGGAGGAGACCCCATCCTATAGCATCATGGGGGCGGATCACCAAGTGATGTCATTGTGTGTCCCGCCCCTTTGTTTATTTAGCAGTGTTAAGTGGCACTGCTATTCAGTGAGTGTCAAGCAGCAAAAGCAGTTATATTCGGAGGGAAGCATTTTTTTAATCATGCAGGTCAGTGGCCGGTGTTCATTGTGATTGACGTTCAATTAACATCAGGGGACATTTTTAATTTTTTTTAATAAAAGACTTGTCAAAAACTGTCTTGTGCTTTTATTTAATTTTTAATTTTTTTGGTGAATGAGTAGGGGTCCATACTCATTCACATGGATCTGGGGGCCCCCTTGTTAAGGGGGGCTTAGGGATTCTGATGGTCTGGCGGTTGTGAAGAGGCCCTTGTCCTCATGAACATGTAAATGAGGTGCTTTGTCAGATAAATCACCCCTGTTGGATAATGAGTTTATATGAAATCTCAATTAACCACTGTAAATAATATTGTAATTATGAATATATTCAGTTAGAGCTGTATCAGTGTGAGTGTGTAATATGTCTTCTCATAAATCCCTATTCTACAGATAGTTGGAGATGGTTTAAGTTGCCAGGAGGAATATTCTATTAATTACAATTTATTTACTGTGTACCAGAAGTCTTGACACTCCTCTTTCAGACAGTCCAGTGCCAGTGTTAGTTTATCTAACAATGGGACCCAAACCTGTTGGCTTCACAAATATCCACTTAAAAGGATCCCTCATTTAGATATACAATGAAGGTCGCCAGCCTTTCTTCAATACTTAATTTCCCAGGAAAAGGGCATGAACTGGCATACTTAATTTCCAAAAAGGGTGTGCTAAGATTCACCTTAACCACTTCCCAACCGCCCTGTAGCAGATATACTGCTACAGGGCATCACAGGTGCGCAAAATCATATATATATATATATATATATATATATATATATATGATTTTGCATTTCTGGGTAGGGAATTCTTTGCTGTGGCTGTCAGTCACTGGGTCCTGTCCGGTGATTAGTCTCCGATGCCCATGTCCGATGGGTTTTTTTGTCAGCTCGTGCACACTGCTTTGGATGGCTGTGCATAGCACAGGGATACAACACTATGTAAAGCAGCACACAGTTAACCCTTTGATCACCCCTCATGTTAACCCTTTCCTGCCCAGTGCCATTAGTACAGTGTCAATGGGGTTTTGTTCGCACTGATAACTGTATTGGTGTCACTGGATATGTCAGTGACACCAAGTCAGTTCCCCCCAGTGTCAGAATGCCCGCTGCAGTCCCTCTATAAGTCGCTGATTGCCGCCATTACTAGTAAGAAATAAAAAAAAGTCCCAGTATATATACCGCCATTTGTAAATGCTATAACTTTCATGCAAACCAATTAATTTACATGTATTGGGATTTTTTTTTAGCAAAGACATGTAAAAGAATACATTTTGGCCTAAATTTATGATAAAATTTGATTTTTAAAATTTTTTACTGGACATGTTTAATAGCAAAAAGTCAAAAATATTGTTTGTCTTTCTTAAAATTGTCAGTCTTTTTTTTTATAGCACAAAAATAAAAAATGCACAGGCAATCAAATACCACCAAAAGAAAGCTCAATTTGTGGGAAAAAAAGGATGCAAATTTAATTTGGGTGCAATGTTACATGACCACACAATTTTCAGTTAAAGTTTTTGACGCAAAAAAATGGCCTGTTCAGGAAGGGGGGCAAATCCTCACTAGGGCAAGTGGTTAAAGGGGGTTGGAGTATGCTAAATACAGAAGATTTGAAGTTAGCCAATTATGAAAGGGAATAGATTTGCCAACCAATCAGAGCTACGTTATGAAAACTAATGGAGAGAGAAGTCTTTGGAACACCAGTTACTAGAATGGAGCCCTTAAGTACCGTTCAATGGTGATTATTGAATAAATCCCTTGCACTTATATCTAAATGTTTTTTCTTATGTCTTCTCTGTCTCACTGTGTAATAGATTAAAGCTTTCTTAATAATGTTTTTTTTATGTAACTAGATAGATTGTTTTTGTTAGTTTTAGATCTTCATAATATTTACCAATACATTTCTGTTGTTGTGTTTAAGCTTCCACTTCCGGGTAAGAACTCTTAATTTACCAAATCATATCAGAGAAATCTTACATTTCATAATCTATAGATTTGGTCAACACCCCCATGGCAACGTGCCTCCCCCCCATTCCAAGGGCATATAGCCTAATATGGTTCAGGAGGGGACTGCTCCCCTTTTCTGGCTTCTTGGGCTCAGATAAGGGTCTGGATTTTGGAAAGGGACCCCATGCCATTTTTGGGAGGCATTAGGTTTCCATTAAAATTCATACCAGACTGTAGGGCCTAGAATGGTTTTTGGGGAGGGATAATTTTTTTGGCATGGGGTCCCCTTTAAAATCCATACCGATCCATCCGGACCCAAAGAAGCTGATATGGATTTGGAGGGGAAAGGCACACTTTTTTTTAGTATTTTTTTTTATGTTGGCTCTTATATTGGCTGTTATCTGAGAATCCCACACTTGCAGCAGGGATGACTCATCATTGTTAGGACACCAGCGGTTGCCTGCTGCTTAACAATTGATGGCTTACCTTCAGACCTGGTATGGATTTAAAGGGGGACCGCACACAAAAACCAAAAAAAAAAAGCATGGTTTCACCCCAATAAAATCCATGACAAACCCTTATGGTGAGCATGTGTCCCACTTTCCTGAACCGTACCACGACATATGCCCTCAACGTGGGGAAGGAAGTGGAAGCCTGGCAAAACATCTTATTCCCATGTTGATGAGGACAAGGCCCTCTTCACCACAAACCTATCCTGGCTTTTGGGATGGTCTGGAATCCCTGTGAAGTCATTGATCAAACTTGGTCATGTCCAGTGGTCATCCATCAGAGCTTTCAGACAACGGTGAGCATTCATCAGGGTAAGATAATGTTGACAGGTGGCGGGTATTTTTTGTTGGGCATCTAGATCTAGATCTACATTGCTGGACGATATGACGATACATGTACATCGTGGGATTTTTTTTTTTATTAAAGGACTTGTCAGAAATCATGTGTTTTTTTTTGCTGTTTACATTTTTTTGTGAATGAGTAGGCAAACTCATGATGAGTAGGCATAAATAGTTTGCCTATTATATAGGGGCTTGCACATTTGATAAGCCCCACAACTATTGGGCCAGGGTGTGGGGAACTAGGTGCTTTGCCAAAGTGGTCCCCCTGGCAAGCTACATCCTCTATGTTGAGGGAATATGGTCTGTTTCAGGCAACATGCTAGTCCCCCCCTTTGCTAGCCTGCCAGGCTGCATTATCAGATTCTCAGATAAGGGTCTGGTATGAATTTTTTGGGGTATGGTATAGATTTTAAATTTTTGTGTGGGGTAACCCCGTAAATCTATATACTGGACCTGAAAGGAACCACATGCCCTTTTTTATGGGAGGTTCTACTTTAAAATACAAACCAGAGCTGAAGGCCCTGGTTTTAATTATTGATTTTTTTTTCTTTTAATTGTCCCTGGCTCTTTTGCCAACCTCTGATGCCCTTAACAAGCACTGATAGTGGGAAGCTGTTATGTATGATAGCGGAAGTAATACCGCTATTATACATGACTTTCAAGCCCAGTTTCACAGGCAATTGTTTGTGCATTTGTCCGAATGCCTTGACAGCCAAAGTTCAGTTGAACATGTGTTCAAACTGAACCTTAACTTCTTCACGCCCAGCCCTATTGTACAATGACAGCAGAGCGGGAACTCTATTATTCTGGGAGGACATCATGGGTCACAGCCAATGACAGATCACTACACTGGCCCGCTGCCAGTGTCACGTGATCGCTGTGACCAATCACAGCAGATCACATGACAGTTGTAAACAATGCATGGCTTCCTTTCATCCCATTCACTGCTTACAACTGTGCTACCAGCTGTGATCAGTCACAGTGATCACATGTACAGACTGGGAAAATCACAGCCCATCTGTAGCATGTGATCAGCTATGGCCAATCACAGCTGATCACAACAAAAACTACCAAAAATGAATCAGTTTCATTTAGTAAAAATGCTTGCTTATATCAGTGTAATTTGTTGGTATAAGCCAGGGGTCCTCAAATTTTTTAAACAGGGGGCCAGTTCACTGTCCCTCAGACTGTTGGAGGGCCGGACTATAGTTTAAAAAAAAAAAACTATGAACAAATGTGGACATAGTACAGGAGATGAGCAGAGACTGCGGACACAGTACAGGAGATGACCAGAGACTGTGGAAATACAACGGCGGCGGGAATACTGGGCCGGCCGCTCCATAAGATGCACAGACATTTCCCTCCAAGTGTGTCTTATGGAGCGAAATAGTGCCCCATCATTGGTGTCAGGAGGAATAGTGCCCCATCATTGGTGTCAGTGCGAAGAATCGAGCCCCATCATTATTGTCAGTGGGAGGAATAGTGCCCCATCATTGGTGTCAGTGGGAAGAAACGTGCCCCATCATTGGTGTCAGTGGGAAGAAACGTGCCCCATCATTGGTGTCAGTGGGAGGAATAGTGCCTCATCATTGGTGTCAGTGGGAAGAATCGTGCCCCATCATTGGTGTCAGTGGGAGGAATAGTGCCCCATCATTGGTGTCAGTGGGAGGAATAGTGTCCCATCATTAGTGTCAGTGGGGGGAGGAATAGTGCCCCATTGTTGGTGTCAGTGGGGGGGAGGAGTAGTGCCCCATCGTTGGTGTCAGTGTGGGGGAGGGGAATAGTGCCCCGTCATTGGTGTCAGTGGGGGAAGGGGATAGTGTCCCAACATTGGTGTCAGTGGGAGGAATAGTGTCCCATCATTGGTGTCAGTGGGAAGAATAGTGCCCCATCTTTGGTGTCAGTAGGAGGAATAGTACGTCATTGGTGACAGTGGGGGGAATAGTGCCCCCGTCATTGGTGTCAGTGGGGGAAGGAATAGTGTTCCATTGTTGGTGTCAGTGGGGGGGGAATAGTGCCCCATCGTTGGTGTCAGTGGGGGGAGGAATAGTGCCCCATCATTGGTGTCAGTGGGGGGAGGAATAGTGCCCCATCATCAGTGTCAGTGGGAGGAATAATGCCCCATCATTAGTATCAGTGACACCAATGATGGGGCACTATTCCTCCCACTGACACAAATGACACTTAACTTGCTGACCCCTGTTCCAGCATGGTGCTGCTGCAGCCAGCATACCTGGTTGCAGCAGCACCATCTGCACGGCACACTTACCTGTCAGCTGTCCTTCACTCCGGCCTCTCACTCACTCGATGTTCGCGGGGGGACGCTCGGCTCCGCCTCCTCGCAGGTGATTGGCCACCTGTGTGCCTTTCCTGAGCTACAGTTCTGGCGCCCAATCACGGGTGAGGAGGCGGAGCGGAGCAGCAGCGCAAACATCGAGTGAGGGAGGGGCCGGAGTGAATGAAGGATCAGTGCTTCCTGGACTGGATCGTCGTGGGACTGGGACATGGAGCCAGGTAAGATACAGCAGCCCCCTGCCCGCCCCTGTACTTAGTGTCCCTTCCTCATGGCAAAAACGCCCCTTCCGATGGGCCGGATAAATGTCCTCGGTGGGCCACATGGTATAAGAAATCATAATGTGTAAAAAAAAAAAACATCCTGATCACTTGCTCTGTGTAGTACAAGGTTACTATGGTAAAATTATATTGCTCTGGTCAAAGGAGTAGTAAAAAAAAAAAAGTAAATTTAAAAAAAAAAAATGTAATGCAATTTTTTAAAAATTTAAAAAATTGAAAGAAATGAAAATAAAAAAAAAAAAAAATTATTATTATTTATTTTTATATACTGTCACAAGTCAGTGTCCCTGATCACCACCTCGCCAGTTATATGATGTACTACATTGGTGACAGTATGCCACAAAATTATGACAAAAAATGACAACTTTAAAAAACTCATTATGACTCTTACTAAATACCTCAGACTCTCTACTTTCCAAAAAGCGGTCATCTTGGGCGTATTTGTACTGTCCTGGCATTTTGGGGCCTCAAGAAATGAGATCAGCCATCAGTACATCAGGATTTATCAATTTTTAGATATATACCATAGTTTGTGGAGTCTATAACTTTCCTGCCAACTAAATAATAACTAAAAAATAAACACTGAGTTGGCTTATTTTCACTAAAGACATGTAGCAGAATACAGTTTGGCCTAAATTTGTGTACAAAGATTATTTATTTACAAAATGTTATAACAGAAATAAAATAAATCTCTATTTGTGTGAAAAAAATTATAAAAACTTCATATAAATACAGTGTTGCATGACCGCGCAATTGTCATTTAAAATGCAACAGTGCTGAAAGGTGAAAATTGCCCTGGGCAGGAAGGGAGTTAAATTGTCCAGTAGGCAAGTGATTAAGCTCACCCCTGGTCCTGACAAAGGGAACATTCCTCAGCAGTAACACATGAAAAAGAATAATGCCTGCATTGACTGCACATCTTTGGTTGTCTATTGTTAAAAATGACAAGGTGATTCTGCCCCAAAGGGCCTGTAGATTAAAGATGTTGAATCCCAAGCAACTTCAACTTCATCAATGCAGTCCAACCTCCCACACCCCTATCCAGATACTTTTATCCTCTTATTTATTTCTCAAAGGGACAAAACCGGCATCATACCCTTTTGACCCACACTGTATAAATAAGAGATTGATTCATTTTGAACCACCATAATCACATTCTTGAACAGGGATGAGCTTCAGCACAATATATGCCAACTGAGGGGTATTTGTGCAAAATGTCCTTGAAACAGATTAACCTTTCTGACCTAAGAAAGCTAAGATAAAAGTCTGGATTACAGGGTTGATAGAAACAAAATATCACTGCACTAAGGCCCATATACAGAACGTTCTACTAAATGGGGGGGGGGGTGGTGTTAGAGCTACACCCTAGTTTTTATTAAAACAAACTAGTGGAGTTTCCCCCACGTGCTGCTACATAATTAGTTCACATTTTGTTTTCCCATTTGGCAATAACCAGGGCCGGAGCTTCCACTAGGCAAACTAGGCGGCCGTCTAGGACGCACTGACAGCTAGGCGTGCCTGGGTGCAGCACAGGCCGGCACTCTCTCTGTGTGGGACGCCGCCACGTTATGAATGATCCTTCAGCTGAGAGGAAGATGGCAGAGGGGGAGAAAGAAAGGACAGAGGAAGATGCCGGGTGTCTGGGGCTAGTGTGGCAGCTGAGCTGCAGCTTCTTCCAGTGTTCCTCTCAGACTCAGTCCCTTACTGCAAGCTGGCTGGCAGCTGCTGATCACTGTGGAGTTCCATCTCTTCTTTTCCCGTTCATCAGCAAAGGCGGAGCTGCGCCTGTGGAGGAAGGTAATGTCTGACTCTAATGTCTCGTGTCTGTGTGAGTGTGACCCGGTCGGCTGGACATCTATCACATGTGTCATGTGTCGGTGAGTGATGATGACATCCCACAGCCTGCTCTTCTAGTGCATGCTGGGCCTGCTGATCTATATCAGTGTTGGTGGTGGTGTGTTGTGTCAGATCTGTCACTGTGTGAGATCGCTCAGTTCAGCTGCCTGCTGTCACAGTATTTTATCTCCCGCCCATTCCATGGGGAATTCCAGCCTGGGATCCATCATCCTCCACTCACTGCAACTGTCATTCTGCCACTACCAGCCACAGATACAGTTTGTCTGTGACACTGATTTTAATATTGGCGCTGGTGGCATCTTATGGCACTTATTTTTGCAATTTAAAAGAAATGTAGAAGTTTCATGTTTTGTTGATTTAATATTTTCTACAAGTTTTTTTTTAAAGTTTTTTCTTTTTTTTGGGGGGGGGGGGATGTTTGCCATAGCTGGTCTTGCCTAGAGTGTAAAATAGTCTAGCACTTTCCCTGGCAATACCTCTAGCAACCATTGAGGCCTTAGCATCAGTGATTTTACCGTCAATGGTCACAATATCTGAAGCTCATTTAGAAGGGCAAGTATCCTTCAATCTTGAATGTTCTCTCATCAAATCAGAGACTTTCTGTGCACAAAAGCTACACTTTCTGGCGGATGCTGACATGGGCATCATCCTCACAGGACCCTGCTAGGACTCTGTATCTGTGCTGTCAGTTGCCTTTACAGCTGCTCTGCTCCCCTGCTCATCGACAGCCTTTTTCATTTTTCAGTATGGTGCTGCTCTACATGATGCAACTGGATTGCTCTGTCATTGTAGACAAGAAACTCAAGATGTGCCTGGTTTCTGCTGTGTGCAAGCCTCACACCACTGTGGTGTGTGGAATCTGCTTGAGGAACTGACTGTCCCCTACTACCTTAATGCACAGTTCTTCTGCCTCTGCCCTCAGGCTGTGCATTGAGGTAGTAGGGGACAGTCAGTTTCTCAAGCAGATTCCACACACCACAGCAGCCTGCCTTCTATTTTGAATATAGTATTAGCACAGTTGCTAAATGGTTAGCACTTCCACCTGGCAGTACTAGGGTCATTGGTTCAAATCCCAGCCACGACACCACCTGCCTGGAGTTTGCATGTTCTCCCTGTGCCTGTGTGGGTTTCCTCCCACACTCCAAAGACATGCTGGTAGGTTAATTGGATCCTGTCTAAATTGGCCCTAATATGTGTATGTATGAATGTAAGTTAGGGACCTTATATTGTACACCCCTTGAGGGTTAGGGACTAGTGTGAATGTACAATATATATGCGTAAAGCGCTACGTAAATTGACGGCGCTATATAAGTACCTGAAATAAATAAACTTTTATTCGTTACTAGGGATAAGGGGCGCGGGGAATGTTGGTGATAGTGGTAAGAATTTTTAGTGCATGATGTTTTTAAACGTTTGGATACATTTATTTAAAAAATCAGAGCTATGTATCCTGTTAAACTGCATGCACATTTGTTATGTGAATGGGTCATAAACAAATGTTATTAAGCTATTTTCTTTCTAGGTCAAATAAGTATTTCCTATGATTATCTAATAGCCATAATGTAGTATTTTCCTGATTCACTCTATGAAGAAATTCAATCTGGAGAGAAAATAGCCTAATACCATTTTATTTTCCCTCATCCACAAAGAATGCATGTGCATGCAGTTTCACAGCATGAATAGCTCTACACATTTTAGAAATTTAGTTGAATGCTCTGAAAGTGCTCTGAAAAACATTCCAACAAAAGAAAGTACTTATTAATGCAACCCCAAAAAAAACCCCCACAAAAAATATAAAAATAACGTATCTACCACCCCCCAAAAGAAAAGCTTGGAGTATGTGCACACATGTGCATACATGTGTGTACTTTGTTTAACAGATCTACCTATCTAATCTAGCTAATCTCTCCATCTGTAGTAAGCTTTCCCAACCTTTAGAGAATATGTAAACCCAACATTTCATATTCCTCATATGTGCATGCTGTGCCATGTGCTTGTATGAAAAAGTATCCTGTTCACTTTGTATTGCTTCCTTTATATGAAACCCCTGGTGTTCCTATCAGTCCCTCTACTTTTCTGTAAAAAAAAAACAACTGACCACACTAGGCATGCGAGCACAGTTGCCAGTGTCAGTTTCTAGCTGTGCTGGGTTCTAATCCAAAGCTCCCCCCCCCCCCCCCCAGCTCCTTGTGCAATTAAGAAAAGAGGGTTTGTGATCACCTATATAAAAGGGAGAAAAAAAGGTATTTAGCATTTTTTATATATATACACAAATGTTTTGCCATTCATTTCTTTTTTAAACTGAATAGGCTGTTATACAAGGCAAGGGTTTACATATACCTCTTACTGAAAGGCTGGGTTGTCCAGCTATCACTACATTACTCTAAGGCTGGAACCAGGTAAAATGGCCATTATGATGCTAAAAGGGACAAATTTGGAACACATTAGAATCCTGTGCTAATCTCAATGTTAATTCATGTTTGGCCCAAATCTGAAGG